TTTGGTTAGTTTTGGTTTTTGGTTTTTTTGGGTCAGGGTTTCTCTGTACAGCCCTGGATATCCTGGAACTTGCTCTATAGACCAGGCTGGGCTCAAATTCAGAGATTCACCTGCCTCAGCCTCCAGGGTGGTGGGTCTAAAAGCATGGTGTCCCATACCCAGCCTGGACCAGCTTTCTTTTTTTTTTTCAAGACAGTGTTTCTCTGTGGCTTTTGGAGGCTGTCCTGGAACTAGCTCTTGTTGACCAGGCTGGTCTTGAACTCACAGAGATCTGCCTGCTTCTGCCTCACAAGTGCTGGGATTAATTAAAGGTGTGCACCACCACCACTGGGCCTGGACCAGCTTTTAAGGAAAGAGGTCCATTATGTTAAAGAGACTGCTTAAAGGTCCACACAGGTCAGTTCGGTGAGAGCAGTATCACGGCCAATATCTTTACCAGCCAAGGTAAAATACTTTAGTACCAGACATCAAGTCACCAAACAAAAACTTAGTGTACTAAAAGGCATTTATTTTTTATTTCAATAATTTCAAATTTTTGAGGTAGAAATCTGGTCACAGTAAGTCAAAATTTGACTGTGAGGTGAACTGAAAACAGTAAATAGAAGTTTTCTTCTACAATGATGCAGTTTCAAGAGAAGTATTTTTGTGTTCACATAAGAAAGACATTTTAAAGGAGAAGCAAGGGGCTGGGATGCAGCTGAATTGGTAGAGTGCTTGCCCAGCATCCATGAAAGCCCTGGGTTCAACCCCTAGGGCCACCTAGATTGAACATGGTTGTGCAGGCCTATAAACACAGCACTCGGGAGGTGAGAGCAGGGCAATCAGGAATTGAAGGATGGTGGATGAGCTCTCAGCAAGCCACAGCTTAGAGTTCCCCATCGTCTTTTGGGAACAAGGTTGCAGAGCAGCAGGGGAGAGCTGGTCTCCCAGTGGGAACAGTGGAGCAGCTGGTGACACAGCCCAGATTCCTCATTCTGTCTTGTAATCATTGTGCACCCATTTTGATATTAATAAAAGGTAACACAATCCCCAGACTTCCCTCATTACGTGACGACCCTCATTGGACATCAGATGTAAATCAAGGCAGGGCATTTGTTTCCTGGCCTCCCAGTTCCGAAATAATCACATAGAGGCTTAATGTTAATTACAAACTGCTTGGCCTATAACTCAGGCTTATTGCTAACTAGCTCTTACATTTAAATTAATCCATTTCTATTAATCTGTGTATAGCCACATGGCCGTGACATTTACCAGCCTGCTGGCATCTTGTTTCTTGGACAGCTGGCTTGCATCACTGACTCCACCCTTCTTTCTCCCTGTATTCAGTTTGGCTTTCTTGCCTAGCTGTATCCTGCCTTGCTACCTAGCCAAAGCAGCTTCTTTATTAACCAAGGAAAAGTCACACATATTAACAGTGTACAAAAAAGTTATCCCACAGTATTTATTGAGACAGGGTTTCTCTGTGTAGTCTGGCTGTTCAGGAACTCACTCTGTAGACCGGACTGGCCTCAAACTCAGAGATCTGCCTGCCTCTGCCTCCCGAGCGCAGGGATTGACAGCTGCTCCACCACTGCCCAGCCCAGGTGCGATACTGAATGAAACACTCCACAAATCGAGGGAGAATATCTGGAATCCGGGAATTCAAAGCCAGTTTGGGGTACATAGTAAGACCTTTCTCCTCTCTCTTAAGATTTTTCTTTTGAACATTTCTTTAAGTGTTTCTCAGCCATTTGAGATTCCTCTATTGAGGGCTGCTGCTTTGTCCTAATGACACTGTCCTTTGCCTTACAGAAGCTTTTCAGTTTCATGAGGTCCTATTTGTTAATTGTTGACATTAGTGCCTATGATTGATGTTGTTATGGAAGTTGTTTCCTGTACCAATGCATTCAAGGCTATTCCCCACTTTCTCTTCTATCAGGTTCAGTGTATCTGGTTTTACGTTGAGGTATTTGATCCACTTGGGCTTGAGTTTTGTGCAGGGTGATAAATATGGATTTATTTGCATTCTTCTACATGAAGACATCCAGTTAGACCAGCACCATTTGTTGAAGATGCTTTCTTTTTCCCATTTTGCATTTCTGACTTCTTTATCAAAAATCATGTGTCCACGGGTATATGGATTTATGTCTGAGTCTTTGACTCAATTCCACTGATAAACATGTCAGTTTTTTAGCCATCAGTAAAATGCAAATCAAAATCGAGAGACCATCTTACACCTGTCAGATGGCTAAGATCAATCACACAAGCGACAGTTCATGCTGGTGAGGATGTAGAGCAATAGAGCAAAGGGAACACTCCTCCATTACTGCTGGAAGTGCAAACATGTACAGCCACTATGGAAATCAATATGGCAGTTCCTCGGAAAATTGAGAATTGATCTGCCTCAAGACCCAACTCTACTACTTTTGGGCATATACCCTAAAGATGCTCCATCCTACCACAAGGACACTTGATCAATTATGTTCTTAGTGGCTTTATTCATAATAGCCAGAAACAACCCATGTGACCCTCAATCAAAGAATGGATAAAGAATATGTGGTACATTTACACATGGAGTATTACTCAGCTGTTAGAAAAAATAACATCATGAAATTTGTAGGCAAATGAATAGAACTAGAAAAAGATATCATCCTGAGTTATATAACCCAGAAAGACAAACATGATCGGTGCCTAGCCCAATCATCATCAGAGAGGCTTCCTTTGGCATCTGATGGGAACAGATGTAAAAACTCACAGTCAAACATTAGGTGGAGCTTGAGGAACTCAAGGGGCGGGGGAGATTGTAGGAGCCAAAGGGATCAAGGTCACCAGGAGAATTAGTTCAGAGAATCAACTAAGCAGAGCTCATAAGGGCTCACCGAGACTAAAGCAACAATCCCAGAGCCTGCATGGTCCTCTGCATAAATGTTATGGTTGTTTAGCTTGTGGTTTTTATACGACTCTTAACGGTGGGAGTAGGGGTGTCTCTGACTCTTTTACTGCTCTCAGGACCCTTTTCCTCCTACTGAGTTGCCTTGTCCAGCCTTGATATGAGGATTTGTACCTAGTCTTAATTGCAGCTTATTATACCGTTTTCTGTTGATATCTCTGGGTAGCCCACTCTTTTTGAAGGGAAACAGAGGATCAGTGGAACTGGGGGAAAAGGACTGGAAGAGGTGAGGGAGGGAAAACTGTAGTGGGGGGTGTATTATGTAAGAGAAAAATAAATAAAAAGAAAAAATGTGTGTGGCTGCATTTCTCACAGGCCTTAAACTCAGTCCTCTGTAAGAGCAACAGTGCTCTTACCACTGAGCATCTCTCCGGCCCCAGGATTCCATCTTTTAAAAATAAACACAACCAGGGGTGACGTTTGGGGACTTTTATAAATAAAACATGTGAGGAGCCATGACATCAGTATTTTCTGGTTTGGAACGCCCACTCCAGTCCTTCACTTGGACACTATGCACACACAAGCTTACTAGGGAAGACACAGACTGAAAGCAATCCCTCTCTCCTCATCCCCCCAAAAGATTAACCATTGCAGCTCTCTCTGCTCAGAATCAAGCAGTTTCCTTTCTCCCCTCATTCTTCTCCACTCTGCCTGGGGCCTGTGGCAAGACAAGGCTCACACTGCCCCCTACTGCCCAGTAACATATTCTCTCTTCCTTGACCACCTTTAGTCCCACTTGAAAAAAGAAAAGCAACAGAATACCCCCACAAAAGTCAAATGTCTTTATTTTATATATAAAAAAAATTTGTACAGTTTTAGTTCCTATGTTTAAGAAAAAATCCCTAAAATTGCCATAATGTTTAATCCACTGCAAACTGTAAAAACAAGCTTTTTATATATTAAAAAAAATTTACATTTTACAATTTTCTACATGCATGCACAAGGTCTCAGCTCTGTAACCAAGAAGAAAGAGGAAGAAAGAGAGGGAAGGAAGGAAGGAAGGAAGGAAGGAAGGAAGGAAGGAAGGAAAAAGGGAGGAAGGAAGAAAGGAAGAAAGAAAGGAAGATAAAATGAAAGGGGGGAAGAAAACAGAATTTAAAAAAGTCTAGATCCAACCATGGAAAATTCTACATTTACAATCTCACTTGGAAGAGACTCAAGAAGTCCCTTCCTTTTGCACACAGAAGAACAAATTACAACAATCACACACAGAACAGAATCCATCAGTAGATGTTGCCCCA